TAGCCCTTTCCCCTCACATTGCTTTCTGGATTCTGTGGTTATAATATAACTATTGCTAAAAACAAATGACTACTTCAGTTGGCCTACAACTTGTTTTTTTAAAAAAGAGAAATAGGTTTATGCAAACTGAGCAAGCTTGGAGAAATTTTTACTACAGGCTCTTTATATCTACCTATGTCAAGAAGTAAAGCACAGTTATGGGTTTGCATTGTTCTTGGTCTAAATGTGTCAGTGAATTAAACATTTGCCTGTCAGTTGGCTTTCTTGGCTCTGTGCCAACCTTTAATCCCTTTTAAAAGTTCTCTACTACCTTTTCTGTCACATCTAGTAACTCAAAACTAAACTCTTGATACCTAGATAAGTGGATTCCTTTGTTTAACCTTTCCTTCCACTTCAGCAATGTGTCCAGATAAGTTCAACTACTGTCAGACTCAGACTCCCTTTATCTCTATAAATTCTGTTTCTTAGGGCAATAAAATATATATTATTTTCCTAATTTGTTCATTGAAGCTCAAGCATAACGAGTTGGCTTTTCCTTCCTTTGGAACCAGTGTGTCCTATGTCCTCCTATTTCCTTTCCTACTTCAAGAAGCAGAGTTTTAAGGCAGTGCAACATTATTCTTGGCAGTTCTGGCTACAAGAAATTAAGACTCTTAAGGCCAATAAATGGCCCGGCTTGAGGGTTTCCCACAGGCATTTGGGTGGCCACTGGGAGAACATGCTGGACTAGATGGGACAATGCCTTATCCAGCAAGCTCTTTTTACATTCTTATGACTGAACAATGGATGAACCATTTCTGCCATGATTTATTATGACTTCTATTGGAGCAGCCAGCAATGGTGTCTTGTGTCCATTCAGAAACAGTTCTCAAACCATGTAGAACTTTTTCTAGGACAAACAGCCAGCGTGGTTATTGTGACACACTAAGTGAGGCTTTTCAAGTGTATGGCATTTGTTTCTTCTTTTGGGGCTAATGTTTTGGACCTTAGGATGGCCTTGGGAGCAACACCTTCCCTCCCCACAAAAGTTTCAAATTCCAGTGTAACATTTAACATTCATTAAATAACTTTTTGAAGCAACAACCTTGTTTGTTATGAATGACTCTGAAGGTCATCTGAGTGACTTCAAGATTCACAGCATGGGTAAGGTAAAGGTAAAGGGACCCCTGACCATTAGGTCCAGTCATGACCGACTCTGGGGTTGCGGCGCTCATCTCGCTTTATTGGCCAAGAGAGCCGGCGTACAGCTTCCGGGTCATGTAGCCAGCATGACTAAGCCGCCTCTGGTGAACCAGAGCAGTGTACGGAAAAGCCGTTTACCTTCCCGCTGGAGCAGTACCTATTTATCTACTTGCACTTTGACGTGCTTTCAAACTGCTAGGTTGGCAGGAGCAGGGACCGAGCAACGAGAGCTCACCCCGTTACGGGGGATTCGAACCACCTACCTTCCGATTGGCAAGTCCTAGGCTCTGTGGTTAACCCACAGCGCCACCTGCGTCCCTTGTAATTCCCGATTTTAGGACATCTAAAGGTATCTCAGAAGTTGTGATGGGCAGTAAGAGGATTCTGTTTGCCGTGCTGCAGTTAAAACAGTCCTCTTGACTTGAGTTGACCCATGACAATAATTCTTCATATTTGCTTATACATCAGATTCCATTTTCTGCTGCTCTTCCAAATGCTGTTGACAATTGCCCAGTGACAGTAGGGAGCACACTTAGAGGTTTTGAATGTAAAGCCATATTTCCATTTAAGGAAGATTTGGCAGGCTTTGGAGATTTCTGAAACAAATTAGTATATTACTTCTGTGAAATGAAGAAGAGTAAATAGTCAGTAGTGTTGAGATTCAGATTGCTATTCTTCTGGCTCCAGATCTATCATCCTACTGAGATAATGAGGATAATTAACACCATGCTTCCCCATTGTCTGCCCTACTCTGCCAAAAGGCTTCAAATCTAACTGCATTCCTTGCTTTATGAGGATTTCCTTAGTGATTGTAGAAAGCTACTACTTTTCAAAACAGAATATTCCATTTCTAGTCCACAGCATCCCAAGCAATGCATCGCTGCTGTGGTTGTTTCATTGTATTAGGTACCCCATAAATGCAAATGACTTTTTAAAACAAGAGTTTCAAAAACAATGAGTGTTTTATGCATTGCAATTGGACCTCTGACTAGATTGGACATTTGTAGTACTTTCAGATCAAAATTGCCTTGAAATTGTCCTAACTAAAGGAGACACTTATGGTTAATTTTGAGATACCTACAGGGAGTCGAGTTGGGAAAGGATGGTGGGCCGGGTACATCAAAAATTATCTCAATCACTCACCCATCCACTAACTGCTCTGTTGTCTGGTATTTATTCTCTCCAAACTGAATGAATGGGCAGTAAAATGACAAATGCAACTTCAGTAAGCTGGTGTCAAGTGATGCAGGTTAGGGCACAAAATATTAATTTTACATAGATGCTGATCCAGAAGCTGCATTTAGAGCAGAATGCTGCAGCCCAATGGCTACCAGGATGAGGCCTTGTCAGCATAGAACACCTGTGCTCAGGAATCTGCACTGCTTGCCAATTTGCTACTGAACCAAGTTGAAGGTGATACTATTAGTATTTAAAGCCCTTAACAACTTGGGACCCATTTACCTTTAATATTGCCTTTACCCACTTGACTGCTTCAATCAGTTGAATTGTCACTATTACAGGTGCCACGTAATACCCGTTCCACATTTATAAGAACTTAATCATTTAGTGTGGCAATGCCTGCACTTTGGAACTCCCTGCCTATTGAGATCAAGCAGGTGCCTTCACTGTACTCTTTTCGGTGCCTGCTAAAAAAAATATTTTGTATGTTTTTAGGTCTTCTTGCTGATTATCCTCATCAAGACATTGAAACACACCTTTCCCGTTCCCCATGGCAGCGCTGACTAATACTACCATTGAATGGCAGGCATATATAGATGGCTAGCTCTGCATTCACTTGCAGCCATTACTATTCTGTAGACCCATAAATCGAGGAATTTGCCTGCAACAGTCTAACATCAGTTTTAGTTATTTGGACTCTCTGTTTCTTACTGTTCTCTTGGAGGCTATTATCATGATTTCCCATAAGCAGAGAACATTCTGGAGCATTGTGTCTCCTTTCTACGCTTTTACCCTTTAGAAAATAGAAAATTTGCCAGCTGGTCTTATTGCTCTTCAGGTTCTCATAACGGAAGAAATAAGACTCATTATGGATTGGAGAAAGCTGGTGCTGGAAAATCAGTTTGTTTGGCAAGTGATGGAGGCAAACATACTCACAATAGTACTTCTTTTGGAGACACTGATTAACAGTATTTTTTGCCGTGTTCATATTGCACTAAACAGTGCTGTATGTGCTGATTTAGCTCATGTGGATTACTGCTTTGTTTATTCCACTGCTTTGTATCTTGAAAATTCCACAATTATGTGCCTAGCTTACATGCAGCATAGGGCGTATGTTGTTCCGTGTGTCTGAAGACCAATATAAAGTATCTTCAGTTGACAATATTCCTATTATCTTTGATAGGGCTGTAAGAAAAGCTAGATTGCAGCTTGTGGTTACAAATTATTACAGCATAAACATTTCCTCCCACTTTCCATGCATTTTTCTTCTGTCGTGATACCAAACTAGCTGGCACTTAATGCAGATGGGCTGCTAAAACATAGGATCTTGGACACATTAAGCATACCACACTTGCTCTATAAATTTGGCTGAAGAGTTAGATAAGAATTGAAAGCTGCTTTGCACAACAAAAGTACTCTGTAATATCTATCAGGCTAATATCTATCTGTGTTGATGGCTGGCCCTGCTCACCAACCCGGCCCTGCCCCACCAACACCCCTCCAATAACACTTTAGACCAGGGCTGGGGAAACTGCTTGGCTCTCACTGCTTTTCTTCTCCTTGCCTCCACTGCTGAGGCTGAAAGTGTCATCAGTGAGGTAGACAGCAGCAGCAGAGCAGGTTGGTTGCTGAGGAGCTGCCCTGGCCTGTTGGGACTACTCCTGAATGGACTGCCCACCACAGCCGCCTCCCTCCTCCACTGTTGCAATGGTCCAGCAGCTCTCAGAAGGCTGTTGTTGCAGGATAGTTTACAGCACCATTGGTCAGTGGATGGCACCACAAACTAGAGCATGATGACAGCCTTAGGAAAATATTATAAAAGGATATTTTCTTTCTGGAGAAAATTCTAATTCATACAGTGAATGACATTTCTTTGCTTTCATTTCATAGGACTCCATATACAGGATTGTTCTCATGCAAATGGAGAACAATTTGCAAAGATAGACCATTACTTTCACATACAGTGAAATTTATTTATTTATTTATTTATTTATTTATTTATTTATTTAATACTACTTCTGGTTTTGTGAACGTATAAATTTGAACCAGTTGAGTCAGCTGCTTATTTTGGCTGAAGGGTAAAATGAGAGCACAGCTGGTAAAAACAGCAAATCCTATCAACCTACATTTACCTTTTTCTGATGGTTTCTTTGTTGCATAACCTTTTTTGGATGACCTCAGTTTTGTAATTATTTTTTCTCCATGGTTGATGACCATTTTATTTATAGAGCTCACCCCACTTTTCTCTTTCCAGGATGTTTAAGCTGTTCTGTAACCATTTCGTACTTTTAAACAGCAAATAGTGATAAAAAACCATATGAAATGCAAACAAATAAGAATGGAAATCAAACCTTCCTGGCAAATAATTCCTTAGGGATGCCTTCATACTTGACTCAACAGTGCTGATATTGGCACAGTCCACCAGGAATAGGGTACATTTAAGCCACAAACTTCTGTTTAAAAAATTGTGCCTTTAATGTGTATGCAGAAAATCATTTGTATATTGAAGACATACTTTTCTTTCGCTTCAGCCAATACAAAACTTCTTTCACACTATTTCTCATTATGTTAGTTTTGTAAAGGGATAATCACTAATTTTGGGATGCAAAAAATAAAACCCACCCTCTATATCAGCGATAGCCAACTCTGTGCCCTCTAGTCTTTGTTGGACTATAACTCCCATCAATAGCCAGTGGTCAGGGATGATGGGAGTTAGGAGACCAACAAAGACTAGAGGGCACAGAGTTGACTATCCCTGTTCTATATAGTATGCCCATGGACTGGACATAACATGATTAAATAAAAGTTAGAGCCATTTGCTTTCTATGGAAATGTTTGGTTCAGGTGAGACTTGCATTTGGTGGGGTATCACCCACCACACAAGTTTTCTAGGAGGAAACTTTGTGTCCGGCTCTTTGTGACCCCATGAACCAGAGCACGCCAGGCACTCCTGTCTTCCACTGCCTCCCGCGATTTGGTCAAACTCATGTTCGTAGCTTCGAGAACACTGTCCAACCATCTCATCCTCTGTCGTCCCCTTCTCTTTGTGCCTTCATTCTTTCCCAACATCAGGGTCTTTTCCAGGGAGTCTTCTCTTCTCATGAGGTGGCCAAAGTATTGGAGCCTCAGCTTCAGGATCTGTCCTTCCAGTGAGCACTCAGGGCTGATTTCCTTAAGAATGGATAGGTTTGATCTTCTTGCAGTCCATGGGACTCTCAAGAGCCTCCTCCCGCACCATAATTGTATTACACTATTTTTGGTGTTTTTATGGTATTTTTATTTATGGTATTTTTGGCCATAAGCGTATTACACTATTTTGGGGGGAAGTAGCTGGGAATATTCTAGAGCAGAATTTGGGAACCTTTTTCGGCTCAAGTGCCACAGTCCCTTGTGGGCCATTTTCTGTGGGCAACATGCCACAGGTATGTGGGGCCAGAGGAAAATGTGGGAGAAGCAGCAGCTATGACTCCTACCTTTGTCCAGCAGGCTACGTTCCAAGCATGGAAAACATCACATCTACAGACACTTCCCTCTGTCTTCCATTTAGGCACACAAGTGGCATTGGCACAGTTTAAAGACACTTTCTGGGCAGGCAGATGGGTGCAGAGCAGGCAGAGGAAGGTGGAAGTGTTGAGGGAGAGCTCCAGAGGATACTTTCAGCCACTTCAGAATGGTCAGTTTCTGCTAGGAGTCACTCGACTACAAAGAAAGTGCATAGCTGAGGTGGGGGGGGGACCCCACTGCCGAACATCACTTATAGCAAAGTTGGCCAGGAAAACCTATTAGAAAATATTGGCAACCCAATTCCCAAAAGATTGCCTCTGAGTAGCAGACATTTAGAGGGAATTTTTAAAGCAAGAGAAACTTGTGTTCTAGATGGATGCAATGTAAGCTTTTACAAAAGTCTGGTTTCAGCACCTTTGGGGAAATTTGAAAATGGACACTTTTGCAGTTTCCTATGGGATTTCGGTGGCGATATTCTTTTCCACAGGAAATAGTTTCTGGTTTCAGCTACTTTATAATGGCAAGGAGAGAGCTAGTGACTAACGCTGAGAGGAATTGTTAAAGAGACGTATTGGCTTTTAATTGAGTCTGCTTGTTTGCTTTGTGTCCAAATTAATTCAGTTTTGTAGTGACCATGCTTTAGGAACTGGCATACACTTGACATTTTCTCATAATCATTACCATATTCCTCCCGTTGAAGCACTGTTTTGATTAAGCACTCAGAAAGCTCTGCTAAAATATCATTGCAGCCGAGTCAAATGACCGCTGTCTTGAACTCAAGACTAATCATAGGAAGAATGGCTCACAATTGATTTCAGGGAAGCATGATACATACTTCAGCTTGTTTCCCCTCCTCCTGCCTTTTAAACTTTACAGAAGGGCTAATTTGGAAGAAGCATGAGTAATCACACATTAAGGATAATTTATATTATTATAAGACAAATAGCAGATAATGGTAACACCCAGAGGGCACCCTTCAAGTGTCAAGCTTTTGTTATTCCAGGTGCTGTATGAACTGTGGCTTTCTTGAGAGATGTGTCCTATAATAAATAGCCTGTTGTGATGGCTGCGTAGATCCTTGCAGCTCTGTTAAGCTGGCTTTGAGGTCTTGCGTGCATTAATTACAATAATTCACATGTATACTGTTTGACTGACGGTCAATCCAGATAGTTCTAGCTTTACATAAATGGAAAAAAGAGCAATTCTGGATAGCAGCTGAACAGGAAAGTTGGGGGCACCTTGCAATTCACAAGTGCAGTACTAGTTGCTACCATAAGGTCCATTACTGCTGTGGCAGTTACTTTATTATTTTTCATTGTTTATCGTACAATACATTAAAAATAACAGTACGGAAGCAAACTGGAGAACAGAATGTCCTTGCTTGCAGTCACTTTATATCACATGCAGAAATCATCTGTGAGACTGACCATATAGGCACAGAAGGATTTCTGTGTGTTGGGTGGGAAGGAGCTGTTTAACTGGGTAAGAGGAAGAGTGCTTATACATGAGGTGCTTTTTTTTTTTTTGTAGTGCCACATGAGCCCTGACCAATGGTTGCTTGCGTAAAGGGGCTGTAGGGGGCTCACATTTTATAGCCCCATCCTCGTTGCCATGCAACTCCTTCCAGCTTTTTTGTTCAGGTTTTATTTACCTACAGATGTGAGACAATAAAACGTAGCATTATTATTAAAATTTTCCATTTATGAATCGCTTAACATGAAGCATCATGAAGTGAATTACAATAGAATAAAAGCATTAAACAGTGTCATATATAAAAACATAAGCCCGCCCCCCCCCCACAAAATTTAAAACAACATACATAAGATCAATTCAAATCCAATATAGATTCTAACGGGAATAAATATCTCTATTTAAAAGATTTGTTAAAAGAAGAATTCTTTAGCAGGAGCTGAAAAGGCATTAGAGAAGATGACTTCCATGTATAAGGGGAAGAAATTCCAGAGGAGAGGGGCCACCACACTGAAGGCCCAGTTCTGGCACTGTGTGGAATGGACCTCCTGATAGGATGGTATCTGCAGGCAGGATACCCTCTCCAGACTCTTATTTATTAAATGTATATACTGCCCTTGTTAGAAAACCACAGGGTGGTTTACAACATACCAGACAATAGGTAACATCATATTTTTACAACATAAATATCAAAACGATTATATAAATACAGTCACAATAATGAGAGGTTCACAATCTATTAGAAGCATTTTCTTTATTTCTAAGTTAAGCAGAGGTTCCAGTAAAGGAAAATAAATTTAAAATTCTGGGTTATGGCAAAGGGTAGATGCAGACAACTAGTTTTAACCACTGCATGGTGACTTTCAGAGCTATTCTGCAGTGCCTTAGGTTGTCTAAAGGTTCTCACACAGAATGGATCTGGAGCCAGCCTGCTCAAACAAGTCCCCAAATATGAGTGAGTTGCATATTCAATCACACATTGGACCCCATCCCTTCAAACAACTCAAATCTTCCTAGCATGCTGTCACCACAGAGTTAGCAAGAGGTGGGGGGAATGGGTGACTTGACAAGCTAACGAAAATCTGTTTTAGCATCACATTTTAAAATAACGTATTTGTGGGGAGCCTGAAGGAGAGAAGAGTGCTAGTTGTGGTGGTTTGCATCACTACAGGTCTTTAAATCAAGTTGGGATGTGCTGCATTTCAACCAGAACAGATGGGCTAGATGCAGGAATTGCTAGGTGGATTTTTACAACACCTTTGAAGCAGAATGTCAGGTTTAAGTACCATAATGGCTACCTTCTTGCCTTAAAAATCACCAAGTCTATAAACGATTACTTCAGAAGAGCAGTCACACAGCTCAGCAATTTAGCCTGTTCTGTTTTGCCTTCCTCTGTTATTTATGGCTTAAACTTCTCAGTGTTGGAACATTTGGAGCAATGAAGTGAATGAAAGATGCTACACAACTGTATAGGCATAACTCTTAACAGCTGGTATCATGAAACAGAATTCCTTTTGTAAGTGTTAAAAGCCACTATGAGAGCACGTGCGGTGAGGTGAATTCTGACCGCTGTAACTACAGTATTGGTATTTCATGAAAACCACCTTGAAAAACAAATCTTCCACTGTAGGATTTGCATTTCATCAGTGGTGAGGCCAGTTCAATTTATGTTTGAGTGTCCAGCAGTACCAAGTACACCCATGTTAATGAAACACCACAGATAATTGTGGCTTTGATTATTTGACCCTCTGAAGAATGCCCTGTTCCTGTAAGGAAGGATGGGATAACCACAACAGTTTTGCAACCTTAAGATCATATTGGGGAGTAGAGGCATAGGATGTGCTATGCAAGGGGACAACTGGAAAGGCTTAATTTCAGTGGAAGTATCTGTGCATTAAAAGGGAACTGCTCAATAGTACTGATTCCACAGGAGTAAAATTTTGATTAAAATTAAGAAATAAAAGCGGTTGCAGACTAAGATGCTTCAGCTACTCTGAAATTGTCAGTAAAAGAGGCTATACTTGCCTACACGGACTGTCAACTGCTCTCCCTGGTTTCAGACAGGACCTTTTCAACCCTACCTGGAGATGCTGGGGATTGGACCTGGGAGCTTTTGTTTACAAAGCAGATGCAAAGAAGAACCATAAAAGAGAGCACTTGTGCAGTGGCATCCAGCTTCCAGAGTCTTACCTGAGAGTTTGAGGCTAATGCATGCTATGTGACTTCCCTACCACTGTACAGAGTTGCTTTCAGCAGGGGTGCCAAGTTTAATAAAATATTGCGGTGGGGGGCAGGTAAGCCCCGCCCCGCATAATTGATCACATGACACGGTGCATGCACACCATTTGAATGGCAATGCCCATCAACTTTGGGGGGACCTGACTCCCTCAAATATTTTATTGGGGGCCCCCCGAACCCCTTAGGAGTTAGCTCCTATGTTTTCAAGCCATGCTTTTAACATGATTGTAACATGGTCTCCAAGGAGGCTCCTGGCCTGCCTAACGTTAGTATGGTTAGTGCAATAAAGGAATCCATTGTCTAAGGCAGCAGTCCTAACCATGTCTACTGAGAAGTAAGTTCTAGTGAATTCAGTGAAGCTTATGTGCAGGTAAGCAGGGTTAGGATTACGCCTTGACTGGTGCCACACAAGAATCGTATCCATGTACCACGGCTGACAGTTTGGAACAGTGGCGTTGTGTTGCTCATGACATATCCAGTGACACATAGTGTGGAATCAAATTATGCCTTTGAGTCATTAATATTAGAACTGTATTTT